GAGATGTTTACAGAAGTTTAAACATTTGTCAAAACTCATCACATTGGAAGAGTTAGCAACCAGGAGGGCAGGGCAGAGGGCTTGGGTTTAGCTGTGGGGAAGAAGTGGCCAGTTTAGGACCTCAGGGCACAGATGGGATAGATAGCAAAGTTAGATGAGACTCCAGGGGTTGAGGAACAAGGATAAGGAAGGTTAAAGAGGAAACTAGATCTTGGGGAAACTATGGTGAGGAGAGTTGTGTTGATAGTTCCTGCAGTGACCCAGGGGGAGACAGCCTTTCAGGCCAGGCTGTCATGCCTTCTGGAGAAGGGGAACTGGACCTCTAGGCGGGCACTGCTCCTGCATGGCCCAAGCAAGCACCAGTGCCCTGGTTTGTATGAGAGAAAGAAGGCAGTTAGAAGCCCTAAAAGATGGGATCTTGCCACCCTTGCTGGAGAGGAGGCGGAATTGAGATAGTTGATGCCTGGAGAATGATCAGGAAGGAAGGCAGTGGCATACAGGTCTGCAGGTGGATTGAGAGGGCAGACCTTGAACTTGTCAATGCCAGCAGCCCCCCTTTTTTTTCAGAGGGTTGCAAACCCATGTGGGGATGAGGCCTGGTCTTGTGGAAACTGAACTTAGCTTCACGGGTATATATAATTATGGTTCAGCCTGAGACAAGGTCCAGGGCATGCCCAGCCTGGACCAGGTCTGAGTGTGAGGCCAGGCCCCTTGTTGGAGGTGAGTGAGGGTGGTCTCAGGAGTGATTGAGGAGGTAAGGTGCCATGTAAGCGGTTATTGATATGGCTCCTGATGTCTGACAGGCTGGGGCTGCTGAGGCAGGATGTGTGTGTGTCTGTAGACAAAACCAAACCACACTTTATTTCCCAGGTGACAGTGCTCCCCCACTTTGGATTTTTCCTCTAGGTTCGGTGCTAACTTCTATGAGCTCATGCCCCTCCTCCTCCCTTTAACTTTCTTGAAGTTGTCCATTCACTTAAAACATTGCTTCTGGGGGGCAGCCCGGGTGACTCAGGGGTTTAGCGCCGCCTTCAGCCCAGGGTGTGATCCTGGAGACCCGGGAACCAGCCCCACATCAGGCTTGCAGCGGGGAGCCTGCTTCTCCCTCTGCCTGTGTCTCTGCCTCTTTCTCTCTCTCTGTGTCTCTCATAAATAAATAAAATCTTTTTTAAAAATTGCTTCTGGTAACTTGGGAAGCCTGGGAAAGTTGCTGAAGGCCCTGAGAAAATCGGTTGTATGGGTTATCATAGAGGAGGAAAGGCCTTCCCTGCTGATACTCTGGGTGATGTGGGGTGGTGGTGCTTGCCTGCAGAGTGGGCAGGGATTGAATGTATACCTTGGGTGGGCCTGCAGCAATGACCCCAGCTGACAGTTACAGAATGCTTCATGGACTATGGTTTGTTACTGTAGTTTTCATTGTGATCAGATGATACCAGGAAGAACGGAGCCCCTGACCAGTGTGAGTCATAGCAGTGCAGGAGAAGAGACACTCAAGGAGAGAGCCCACCTAAGTTTATGTCTGCAGACTGAATTTCCAGAGGCTTAGGATATGGAAGTTCTTCAGTGTCCTATTTCCAGGCCTTGCTCAGGAAGCACTGTATTCAGAAAGCCACTTATGGTTTTCAGATGAGCTTATGAGGGGGCAAGCATTAAAAGTCGAAAGCAGATGCATCAGGCCATCAGCAGATGTGTTGCTTTATTGTTTGATCCAGGAGCACCAACCTCCAGGCAGTGTGAATGGCAGCAGGCACCCTTCCTTTTCTGGGGTGGAGGTTTTCAGATGCTACATCTTCTAAATTGAGACTCCGGTAACTCCGGTAATAACTAGTTCTGGGCTATGAATCTTGCTACAAGAAGATTCTTAAGGTTTAGGACATTCTGACATGCTACAATGCAGAGTGATGCCTTCTAGATGAATCCTGCAGATGGAGCCCAGTCCATCTCACCTACCTGCCTGTCTGCCTGCTTGCACTTTGGTTGGAGGAAACAGTGTGATGGTCTAACCTGTATTTTGGGAAAGTGTTCACATTTGAAATGCCTTAGGCAATACTTAAATAAAGCATACTAGCAAATTGGAGGGAGGGGTCACTGTGTTTTGCTACAGTCTTGGGTACAAGTTGGTTGTGGCCAAATTCTGTCAGAAAGGGCATGTCTAGTTCGGGCATTCCGATTGCATTGCAGATAATTAAGTGAAAGGTTGGGGTACTGTTAGTGATCTTTGATTCTTCAATGTATTTTTTTAAAGATTTTATGTATTTATTCACGAGAAACACACAGAGAGAGGCAGAGACGAGGCAGAGGGAGAAGCAGGCTCCCTGCAGGCAGCCTAATGTGGGACTCGATCCCAGGACCGCAGGATCACACCCTGAGCCAAAGACAGATGCTCAACTGCTGAGCCACCCAGGCGTCCCACTTCTATGTATTTTTTTAAAAATATGAATTTTGCATGATTTAATTTCAAAGTAGCAATCTTCAAATGGGAGTACCCTGAGGTGTGAAGGTTGGGGGTGGAGCACACCTTGGCATTGGTACTGGGAGGGGTGGGGGTGAGGAAAGGGAGAAAGTTGAGTTGGTTAGGTACATGTTGCAGAGGTTGAGGGTGGTAGAGAATTGGGTTAAAGGGAATTCTGGCACAAAAGCAAGTACAGCTCTAGAGCATGTAATATATATACAACTGGGCAAAGAAAATACTAGTTAAATTGTCTCTTGGAAGCATAAAAATTGCTTAGGAACTTAAAAGTCCTTTAGAAATCTAAATGCAGGGAAAGAAGCAAAACAGTTTTGCTTTGGTGCAAGGTGGGGGAAGACTGAAAAGATGTAACTGAATAGGAATACCAGTCACACAGAAGTCTGGGGTTCAGAAGCAGGTGGGTGCAGAAATTTACATCAGTGGAATAAATAGCTTTCACTGCTTTGCTAGCTTCATAGTAGTTTATGTGAAGGTGTATAGTACTGGAGAGCTAGAAGTCTTAGGAAAGACTTTAAATGCTCAAATTGTGAGCTTTTAAAGTATTTAGATTTTAAGAAGTAAGTTTAAAATTTTGGTGTATACATGAGATTAGAGTTCTCTTATGGATTTGTAATGTTTCTACTTACTGAGATTTTGTGATTGAAAATTCTAAGTGAAAATGCAATGACTTTTAAAGGAATTTTATGTCTTAAAAACGTATCTCTCATCTTTGTGATCTCTGTTATCTTTGTTAAGAATTTTTGCTATTACCTTAGTTATTGTAACAAAAAATAACCTTTTGGGGGGGCACCTGGGTGGCTCAGGGGTTGAGTGGCTGCCTTTGGCTCAGGTTGTGATCCCAGGGTCCTGGGATTGAGTTCCACATCCAGCTCCCTGCAGGGGAGAAGGCTCCCTGATTCTCCTTCTGCCTATGTCTCTGCCTCTCTCTGTCTTTCAGAAAGAAAGAAGGAAAGAAAGAGAGGGAAGGAAGGAAGGAAGGAAGGAAGGAAGGAAGGAAGGAAGGAAGGAAGGAAGGAAAAGAGAAAAGAAAAAGAGAAAGCAAGCAAGTCTTTTTGTGGTCCCTGTAAAATTACTGTAATATTTGGTACCAAACAATCCATGTGCCCTTGTGAAGGTTAATCAGTTCTTTAATTTGAATGTGTGTGGTTTTTAAATTGATCCAGTACTTGAGGGGCAACTATCAGTCAAAATCAGTTTGGGGAATAAGCAAAATGAGGGGGCAGGTATCTATACTAGATGTGTTCTGTTTTTAAATATTCAGAGAAAGATATGAAGACTATTTATGATGATTCTTGTTTCTGAGATGCATCTATTGAATTGGTAAAGTTTTATCAGTGGCCTTTGATCCTGTGCCTCTTCCCCTTAAATTTCACTTAAAATCCCCAATGCTTGTTGCCTCTGGGATTTCTGTCTTCTGGGTTCTTTTTTAATGTTTAAAAATATGCTGGTATTGTTTGGTTTTTAATCAGTGACTTGAGTACGATAGAATTACTGCAATAGGAATTTAAAGAGTATTAGTCCTACATATGTTGGGAAATGTGTTGGAGTGTGCTGTTGTGAAACTGAAGCTGTGGTTAAAGTACTCTGTGTTGCTCTGTCATAAAAACTAGTCCTGTTGCATGATGTATGTGATTGCTAATCATTTTTCCCCCTCTTTACAGCACAAATAAGGGTTTGGGTTCTAAATTCGTTAAAAAAAAACTCATCAAATTGTACACTTAAAATTTGTGAATTTTATTCTGTGTTAATTAAACCTCAGGCTATGTAAATAGTAAAGCTGTGTTTTCAATGTCAATTGCTTGGAAAATTTGTTAACAGGAATAAATTTGTGATTTTCATTAAATCAGTAACTACAAACAATAATAATAATGAATCTATATGAATTAAAGAACATATTTTAAGAAACTTTATTTAGAATTTTATTTCTATAAATATTATTTAGAACTTTATGTTCTTGAATTGCCATGTGTGTTCTTTTTCCTGCTCAGTCCCTTGGTATCTGCAGGATGACAAAAACTTGTGTCCTTATTAGGCACATCTATAGAAATTATTGATTTTCTTTTGAAGTACTAAAGATCTCTAAACAGTTTCCTAAAATGTTATATTCTACGTTATGAACATCAAAAACAAGAAGATCTATAAGGACTCTATTACATGCAAAAGGTATATATAGTAACCTCCTCATTCAGGGCAGAGAAGCCCCAGGGATTTATAGAACTGATTTAGAAAAACAGGATAAAATAATTGGTTGTCACATTTGATAGAACAATGAAACAAAATCAAAGGCTGAGAAGTAATTCTCACATAAGACTCTATTTACCAGTGAAAAGTCATAAATCCTTGGGTCATAGTACCAGAAGAAATTCAGTCATACTGACTGAAGTCATACCACAGTCTTCTTTTGGTTAAACTCTACCCTTCCCCTATCCCAGACTCTAAAGTATTAATTAGGGCCACAGAAGAGGTCCCATAGAGGGAACATAGATTAGGAGCCCCAGGAACCAATAACTAAACTACTGCCCACTGATACCTGGAGAGAGAGAGGATTGCATTTCCCTCCACATCATGTATTGGATGGGACCTTTGTATAGGCCTGGGTTCAGCTTTCTGGAGATAAGCTCTCTGGGCATCAGTACCCTCGTTCCTTGCTCCAAGCTGCAGGGAACATAAATCATTCTAGACATCCTCCACAGACAAAGGAAAGGTATTAATACCATACAGAAACACTTACCTATCCAAGAGAGATGTGATATCCTAGAAGAGGAAAGGAGTAATAAAGAAGTTAGATGCCTATTTATCAACACCAGAAATTTCTTTGGTGATACTGGCCACCACCAGAATTTGATCATCAATACTGGGATCCTGTGCGGAAGTCCCCATTCCATCACCACCAACTCCTCCCACTGTCCATATGCCTTTCTGATCAGTATCCTTCATCTAACCTGAGATAAACTGGCTTTATCTTATTTTGGTTTTCTAGAGTTCCCTTTTACATGGAATAAGAGAAATTAATAGGTGGACTATTTCTAGCTATACTGCTACATGGTTTCAAGAAAAACACCATAGGTCTTTCAGCCCAAAGCCACTTTTCCTTAGTTTGGCTAAGTAAACTTCTGAGTGCTGAGCTGATAATTAATGACACTTTAGAGGTCAGGCTTCCAGTAGTAACAAACACCTTTCAAACAAGTCAATTTTTCAAAAGGTGGCAAACACCTTTCAAACAGGTCAATTAAGGGATTCCTGGGTGGCTCAGAGGTTGAACGGCTGCCTTAGGCTAAGGGCGTGATCCTGGAATCCCAAGATCCAGTCCCACATCAGGCTCCCTGCATGGAGCCTACTTCTCCCTCTGCCTGTGTCTCTGCCTCTCTCTGTGTGTCTCTCATGGATAAATAAATAAAATATTAAAAAAAAAAACAAACAAGTCAATTAAAAGCCAGTCTAAGGTACAACTCAGGTTGCAACATTCTTATTTTTGAGAAATAAACCCTCAAAATTCTTTTTGAAGAAAGATTAAAATATTAATAGATGCCATTATTAATGGCATTTATTATCCTTTTTATGAGAGTGAAAACAAAGCTTCCTATTGACTGTAAGGCAAAAGTAGCCTTCTGCTCTTCTCCCAGAGAGTCTTAAAAGCACTAAAGTAGGTTTCTTCCCCCTTCCCAATGGATAAAGCTGCTTCTACATCTTTCCAACCTTCTTCCCCTGCTAGTGTACCCATAATTATGTGATATGGAGTCTCACTTTGAGAAAGTCGAAGGGATTCTGCTGTTCCATTCGTGCCTGGATGCTCACCAACATCTCCTTGGCTAGGAGACACTGTTCTTGAAACTGGTTCAGATTCAGCTCCATCTCCTCATTCAAGGCTTTCCCCTCTTCTCGGAGATCATTTAAAATGTTCTTTTCTTTGCTGTGCAGGAACTGATGTAGCTTTAGAAACTCCAAGGAGATGTGTTGCTGCAGATGTAGCTTGTTTTCCTGGAAACCTCCATGATCATCACCATGGTAATTACTGAGACTAGCACTTGGGGATGGGGACCCACACCACTACTCATATACCATAACGGAAAATGCATTAAAATGGTTCAACCATACTAAGCAGAGTTCTTTGGGAGACTTATTTTGTTTTTCTCAGTTTAATAGTTCAGGAATGAAATAGTCAAAAGTGATCTCTAGGTACCTATTGCAGTACCAAGGTGGTAACCAATCCCATAATAAATAAGGTTGTGGGGTTAGTTAATTAATTAAACATCCTGGAATGAGTAATAGTATCCTCCTACCAGAGGTACAAACTAATGTCTGCCAAGTGATGCTGTTAGACTGGGGCCATCAGGAGGCTGAAGGAACTATTCTTACCTAGAAGACAGAGCTAGGGGTATGTCACTTCTGCTGCCAGGACACTATAGAAGAAGCAGGAGACGGGCAACGTCTGAAGCACTGAAATTAATAACTGTTCTATCCTTTCCTAAGGTAACCACAATGTCCTGAGGGATGAACCATCTGACACCTGAGCTTCTCAGAACTTTATCCTCCTGATTTCTAGTGATCTCCACCTTTATCTACTCATTCTCTCAATCACACAGGATTTTATCATTCCTAGCAATTTCACTATCTCCAAAATTAACTTCTTATGCTCACTTAGGTACCTCTACTGTAACAATTATTGGTCTCATTGAAACCTCTTATTCATTGACCCCCTCCATTTCTGTTTATCATCTTCTTCTGTCTCCATGTCCCCTCTTATCCAGCTTGGATTCTGTGGTCCATCATTATAATGGCACTTTTAAAATTCACTCTATCCTCTAGCTCACACTTTTCCAATTTTCCTTTTACTATTTCATCACTATTTCATGTATTGGTTGGTTCTGTCTTTTTTAACCAAGCTCTAAATATTGGAGTTATTTGATATTCTGTCCTAGGCTCTTTCCCCTTCTCATTCAATATTCTCTTTCTAGGTAATATCCTCTCCTCACACAGATTTAAATCAGTCTCTTTGCTGACTTCTTATTCCCAGTCTAGATCAACTTCTGAGCTCTAGATTCCTGTATCCAACTGTCTATGATGTCTCTACTCACCCTTCTCACATCTAATCAGTCACGACATCCAGGTCATTTTTTTTTAAATCTCCAAAGCTTATGCTGAAGCTGTTTATTTCTCTCTTTCTCTGTGCCTCCCTTGTCTAAGCTACCATCATCACTCTCTGGGATCACTGCAATAGCCTTCTAACCATTATCCTTATCATTGTCTCTCTTCTCATAGCCACTAGACTCATATTTTCAAAATGAGATGAAATCATGTCCTATTTAAACCTCTTTAATGGCTTCTTACCATAGGAAGAAGTTCAAAATTCCTAATGTTATCTACAAGGGCCTACGTAACTGGGCCCATATCTACCTCTTCAAGCTCATCTTGCCTCCCATGATCTAATTTTATTGGCCTTGTCTCTGTTTAACATAGCAACCAACTTCCTATCTCAGGATTTCTCCATATACTCTTTGCTCTTCACAGAACATTATTCTCTAGGCCACTCTCTTCATATTCCCTTCAGTCAGTTCACTTGGCTAAGTTACTTGTCCTTTAATTCTTAATTTTTAATGGGTGATTTTTTTCAGAGAATACCCCTCCCCTAGCCTAGATTAATTCTTCACATATATTTATTATAGTACCCTTTATTTTCATTTATAGTAATTATCACAGTTGTCATTTTATTGCTATTAATGGGATTACTTAATTCCATTAGTCTATCTCCCACCCTAGTGTAATACAGTATTTAGTGTAATGCCTTACTCACTCAATAAATATTTTTTGAATGAATGAATGTTGACTGTAGTAGCTAAACTAGGAACTCTTAGAAACAACATTCTCTGGAGACATTATTTCCATCTATCCTTCTTTCCTTCATTGTACATATTTCTTATTCCAGATGCCAAAAGCCAGAGAAGACTCTCCCATAGAGTAATTATGAAAAAACAGAACTACCAATTTAGCCCCAAAACCTAGGGACTGCTTTGCCAAGTTTCTAACTAGGAATGTTCTCCTAGAGCTCCTGTGAAGTTGACAGTATAGGCAATGGTTTATTTAGTTTGGAGGAAGCTAGAAAAGATCAAATTGGATGGTGAAAACCAGCAATCCGAGACACCTTAAATCAGAGGTAGCCTGGTTATAAACTCAAAGAAAAGAAAGGTATTTCTTTGGGCATAATAATCTTTAGCGGATTTTTCTGATAAATCCCTTATTTTGCCATATGTAAAGGGAAATATCAGACAGATCACAACCTCAAAACAATCACCTAGTGATTGACCCATCAGAAGGATCAGCATGTAACAGAAAAGGTCAGTCTGCTCTCTCTGTTGATCATCCATTGAGAACTTATTTCACTGCTATGTTTCTTTCCACCTTACAGTGTCCCCTTTCTAATTCTATAGCCCAGGTGTCATTTAGTGTATTGATAATATATGTACAAGCACCTTTCTACCCATGTAGCTGAAGTTACAAGGAAGGTATTCCAGTTCTATCTTATAACTAACCCCTCTACCCTGTTTCTCACCTTGTAAGCAGCAATAGCATCTTTCTGCATATCCTTCAGGGACTGAAGTTCCTTCAGGGTTGCCTCCAGTTGACCCTTATGGATGGTGAGCTCCTCCTGGGAATACCATATAGAATTATGGTCTACCATATAGAATTAACCACACTAACTTGGGAGATGAAGGGCCATAGGGACATCTCTCCTAAAGCCCCAGGGTATCAGGGAAAACAAAACAAAACAAAAAGCTCTTGCTGCAAACCTTTCCTTAACCCCTGAATTCCTGTCTCTTCCAAGAATTGTAAAGAAAATAACAAACAGCAGAAAAACTTAGTTTTATGCTATTAGCTTACTACAGAGGTTTGAAGAAGCTGACTCTACATTTTCTGCTGTAGTTGTACTGTTCTCACTATCTATACTTTTATTTATGTTGTTATCACTTAGAATATTCATTTCTCCCCTCTGCCCATTCAAATGCAAATGATTTCCCATCTCAAGCTTTCATTCACCATACATCCCTTATTTCAGTATTCTCTAATCTTCTCTGAAATACTAAATATTTACAAATTACAAATGTGACAACATTTAACTCTCAATAGTACACTATCTTGATTCTGTTGTTTTATTAATTTTAAATTTGACTAAATTTCAAGACTTTTGTTAACAAGAGTAATATCTTGTACATCCATATTCTACAGAGTGTCTAGCAGAGTCTTGTCGTGGCAGGGTATAGGTAAATACTTGATTGATTGAGGGAGTAGCCGGAGCTATTCCACTACTCCTTTCCTATAATCAGCAACTCGAGAGAAAGAACTTTGCAGGATACGTTGTATTTTCTGAGCTTACTAATAATCATCTGAATAAAGGGGTGGGGTTGAAAGAGAGAAGAAACCCTACAAAAGATTTCTCTCAGCTTTCCTAAGGCATTATTCAAGGCTCAGGCCTCACCTACCATGAAGAAACAGACAGCATCAGAGATCTGCAGGAAATCTTTAGACTGCTCCACAGACAGCCGAGCATCTTTGCATTGAAAGCAGATCAGTTTCCCATCTGGCTTACTGAATAGTTTCAGGTTCTCTCCATGCTCTGGGCACTGTGGATGGCCCTTGAGTAAGGGTAGCTTCTTAATCTTCTCTACCAGCTTCTCCAGTACAAGATTGAATGTACAGTTGCTATATTGACATAGCATCTTACACTCAGGACAGAATGTTTCCTTTGCTTGCTGCTTCCAAAAGTTTTGGATACAGGCCTGGCAGAAGTTGTGGCCACAGCTTAGCATCAATGGATCACGGAACCAGTCATTACACAGTGGGCAGTGTAGCTCCTTAGTAATGTCTTGTATCTGCACTTTAGAGGGTATTTGGGTGATCAGATCATGTACTTCACCATAGTTGCCTGGGTCGATGTTGGAGGAAGGTCTGGAAGATACCTTTGGAAAAGAACAACTAAAATGAGTTTCTCTTTCTTGCTGCCCATTTCCCCATTCCAAGATAGTGGGCTCCATTATTAAAGGAGCTGAGAATAGGTGCAGCCAGAATAAAAGCACCAGTCTCCTTTTTGAAAGTTACCTGATAAATTCATTGTTGTCTTTCTCTCTCTCTCTCTCTCTCTCTCTCTCTCTCTCTCTCTCTCTCTCTCTTTCTTTCAGATTTTATTTACTTATTCGTGAGAGACACAGAGAGAGGCAGAGACAGGAGAAGCAGGCTCCATGCAAGGAGCCTGATACAGGACTCAATCCCGGGACTCCAGGATCATGCCCTGAGCCAAAGGCAAATGCTCAACCACTGAGCCACCCAGGTGTCCCAAATTCATTGTTTTCTAACATTATCTCTACTCTCAACACTATTTAAACTTTAATAGAGGGGATCCCTGGGTGGCTCAGCGGTTTCGCGCCTGTCTTTGGCCCAGGGCGTGATCCTGGAGTCCCGGGATGGAGTCCCACATCAGGCTCCTGGCATGGAGCCTGCTTCTCCCTCTGCCTGTGTCTCTGCGCCTCTCTCTATGTCTATCATAAATAAATCTTTAAAAAAAATAAAATAAACTTTAATAGAGAACTAAGGCAGAAGAAAGAGTACTCAAGAATGTTTTTTGTTGTACATCCATACCTCCACCCACTTTCTTCATGTATCAGTTAAAAGTTTACTTTCAGCTTCTACTAGTTATTACCTTTTTATTTTGTTTTGTTTTCTAGATATCATGTACAAAGAATTGGAATCAGTGGCAATCAGATTCCTCAGTGGCATAATATCACCAATCATAATATCATCCAGGCTTTTCTCTCCCCCTTTTTAAGAACACATTACAGAAATAACACATATACAGAAAAATACAGATTCATGCATATAACTCAATGACTTTACACAAAATGAACACATCTGTGTAATCATCCCCTGATCAGAAAACAGAGAACTACCACCATTCGGGAAGTCCCCCGTATGCATGCTTCAAGTCACTATCCCTCATCAAAGTTGGACACTGTCTTGACTTCCAGCACTATATACTGGTTTTACCTGTTTTTGAGTTTTATATAAATGTAACCATGTACTGTGTATTTTTTGTTGCTGACTTCTTTTATCAGTCTTACATTTGTGAGATTTTTATATATTATTCTATGCAATTGTAGTGCATTTATCCTCATTCCTGTATATAATATTACATTGTGTGAATATACCATAGTTTTTTTCTCCATTCTACTGTTGAAAGACTTTTGGGTAGTTACCAGTTTGAGGCTATTATAGTGTTGCTGAGAACATTCATTATTTGGTGCAAGTCTAAGGATTGTTAAATCTGAGTTTTCCTGAGTCTCAATAACTGTAACCTACCTCCATGCTTTTCAATTCTTTATTCTTTTCTTTGACCTTGGAATTTCTCTTTACTTTCTTGTACACTCCAGTATGCATCTCAAAGGATATCTGTCACATTTTAACTGGCATTTCTGGGTCTTTTATAGTAGTGGGTTTTCCAGGATAAATGGTTCACAGCAATGGTACCTGGCTGGCTCAGTCTAAAGAGCATGCAACTCTTGATCTGAGGGTTGTGAGTTTGAGTCCCATGTTGGTGTAGAGATTACTTAAAAATAAAACCTTAAAAAAGGGTTGCTTGCTCCCTTCCCTTATGAATTGATGACTATTTTTTTTAGTGTTTTGCTTGGATTCATTTCACTTTATTTTTTTGTATATCCATATCCATTATAGGTTTTTGATTTGTGATTACCATGAGGTTCATATATAATACCCTATGTGCACAACACTCTATTTTAAGTTGGTGGTCACTTAAGTTTGAACACATTTTCTAAAATGACTACATTTTTACTCTGCCCCCTCCATGTTTTATATGTTTAATGTCATATTTGACATCTTTTTATTTTGGGTATCCCTTAACTAATTATTGTAGATATAGTTGATTTTATACTTTTGTCTTTTAATCTTCATACTAGCTTTGTCAGTGAATGATTTACTACCTTTATGTCTGCTTTTACCAGTGAAATTTTTTCTTTTTCTTTCATAATTTTCTTACCTCTAGTTATCGTCTATTCTTTTCTCTTTAAAGAAGTCCCTTTAACATTTTTTGTAAGGTGAGTTTAGTGGTGCCCTGAATTCCTTTAATATTTATTTGCCTAGGAAATGTCTTTTTTCTTCTTCAAATCTTAATAATAGCCTTGCTGAGATACTGTTTTTGGTTGTAGGGGTTTTTTCCTTTCAGCACTTTGAATATATCATGACACTACCTTCTGACCTGCAAAGTTTCTGTGAAAAATCAGTCAGTAGTCTTATGGGTATTTCTTTGCATGTACCTAACTGCTTTTCTCTTGCTTTCTAAGAGTCTCTCTTTATATTTAATTTTTGACATTTTAATTATTGTGTGTCTATGTGTGGACTTCTTTTGGTTCATCGTGTTTGGGACTCTGTGATTCCTAGATCTAGGTGTCTGTGTCCTTCCCTAGGTTAGGAAGTTTTCAGCAATTGTTTCTTTAAGTAAGTTATCTGCCCCTTACTCTCTCTCCTCCTTCTTCTGGGACTCCTATAATGTGACTCCTAGTATACTTGGTGTTGTTCCAGAGGTCCCTTAACCTATCCTCATTTTTTAAAAGATTTATTTATTTAAGAGAGAAAGAGCACATACACACAAGCAGAGGGAGGGGCAGAGGGAGAGGAAGAGAGAGACTCCTCAAGCAGACTCCCACTGAACATGGAGCCTGATGTGGGGCTCAATCCCAGGTCCCTGAGATCATGACCTGAGCCAAAATCAAGAGTCAGCCAGTTAACCAACTATGCCACCTAGCCAGCCATCCTCATCTTTTAAAATCTTTTTTTTTAAAAGATTTCAGTCTGGGCACTTTCCATTAATCACTTTGTTCTTTCTTTTTTTTTTAAATTTTATTTATTTATTCATGAAAGACACACAAAGAGAGAGAGCGTCAGAGACCCAGGCAGAGAGAGAAGCAAGCTCTATGCAGGGAGCCTGATGTGGGACTCAATCCCAGGACCACAGGATCACTCCCTGAGCCAAAGGCAGATGCCCGACCGCTGAGCCACGCAGGCATCCCAAAATTCCTAAGTTTTAATATCTAATAAGATATATTGATAGAGGGACACCTGGGTGGCTCAGCGGTTGAGCGCCTGCCTTTGGCCCAGGGTGTGATCCTGGAGTCCTGGGATCAAGTCCCACATCGGGCTCCCTGCATGGAGCCTGCCTCTCTCTTTCTCTGTGTCTCTCATGAATAAATAAAAAATATTTTTTAAAAAAGATATATTGATAGATACAACCCACACTGTTCTTTCTGATCACTGATTCATTTTGTATCCTCTGATTTGCTATTGCTTCTCTCTCATGTATTTTTTATTTCAGTTATTGTATTCTTTAGCTCTGATTGGTTCTTTTTATATTTTTTGTATCTTTGTTCAAGTTCTTACTGAGTTCATTCACTTTTCTTCCAAGTTCATTGAACATCTTTATGACCATTACTTTGAACTCTTAATCAGGTAGATCGCTTATCTCCATTTTGTTTAGTTCTCTTTCTGAGTTTTTTTTTTCTTGTTCTTTCATTGGAACGTATTTCATTGTCTTCTTATTTTGTCTGATTCTCTATGGTCAGCTACATTTCCTGTTCCTGAAGGTAGTGATCTTATCTGGCAGGCATCCTGTGGGGCTCAGAAGTGCAATCCCTCCTGGTCACCAGAACCAGGAACTCCAGGAGTGTCTCCTGTGTGAGCCACATGTGCCGTCCCATTGTGCCTGGGCTGCAACTGTTGTGAGCATACTGGTGAGTGAGGCTGGCCCCGGCTATAGCTGCAGGGTTTGGCTATGACCATTACAGGTGTGCCAGTGGGTGGGACTGGCCCCCTTGCCTCCTAGGACAGAATTCATCCTGGCTGAGGCTACTGTTTGGTGTGGTGGTTGAGGGGCAGCCACTTTGGCGGAACATTTAATGAGGCAGATTGGGTATGGTGGGCCTGCAGGGGAATGCTGGAGCAGGGTGGTCAATGCTAGCAATGTAGATGGAGAGTGTTAGAACTGGCACCTGCCAATATCAGGCCAACTTGGCTGAAGGAGGGCAAGAAAAATGGTGCCTAGTGCACTTCCTGGAGTAAATTCCTACAGATCCTTGCCCTGTGAGCACACCCTAAACTTAGTAAGTATCCTTCACATATATTCCAGATGCTTTTCATATGTGCTGGGCCTGGGAGCAAGAGAGATTATGTTTGGGCCCTTTAAGAGTAGAGTTTTAGCCTCTTTCTTTCTTTCTTTCTTTCTTTCTTTCTTTCTTTCTTTCTTTCTTTCTGATTTTATTTATTTATTTATTTATTTGACAGATTGAGAGCAAGAGTACAAACAAGAGGAGCAGCAGGCAAAGAGAGAGAGGGAGAAGCAGACTCCCCACTGTGCAAGAAACCTGATGTGGGACTAGATCTCAGGACCCTGGGATCATGACCTGAGCTGAAGGCAAATGCTTAACCAACTGAACCACCCAGGTGCACCCTGAGTTTTGGTTTCCTAAAGCCCTTCAGCTCTCC